CTTCTGAAAACAAAAATTACTACAGGACCCCAGTACACTGTGTTACTCTGAAACAGTTAATATTTTAAATAAAAAAATGCACTACAAGACCATATCTACAAAAAAGTAGCCACTAAATATTTAAATTCACAAGACAATCTTTATATCCAGCAGTAAAAAATAAATATGTACCTCAGGGGATGGGTATGCTTGTATTGATGAACACAAATCCTCGAAGGGGGCTCTGTGTGGCTGAGATAAAGACAGAGGTCATCTTCAACAGTGAGACAGGCCCTGTATTTGTTTTTCAGTAAGGTCAGTGCTAAAAAGCCAGCTACACACAGGTAGGTGGACGAAAATGGCCTAAGCACTTCCAATGCTGCAAATGACAGCTCTGGATATTCTTCTCACACAGAAATCAGTAGTTAGCAAGAGGTTGTTCAGAAATCTCAGCATCAATGTCTCATCACGGGAAAGGTCCATTAATGTTTCTTTCACTGTAAGTGACATAACAGCACTTCTACATTAAAGGGATTTCTAATCCACACCTCTGTTTTCTGATCCTTTTCAGGGAAGTACTCCTGAAACTGCAGTTTAAGGCTTTCCAGGTGGCTGATGATAATGGGTTGCAAGTCATGCTTTGGCAAGGCATTTTCATCCAAAAAGTCATCCAGTAAAAAACCCCTTCAAAATTGCCAGTATCCATACACATACCATAAGGAAAGTTTCTTGCTCCAGCTTTCAGTTTTGTCAGTGAGAGAAGTAAGGTATTGAACTCATTTAGGCATTCAAAAATGTCTGCCAGGTAAGCTAGCAAAGCAAGCCACTTGGTATCTGCAAACTTTTCGGCCAGCAGGGAATCTTCATCTGAACTCAAACAAACATTTGAGAACCTTTCCCCGAGACAGCCACCAAACTTTTCTGTGATGAAGTAACTGATGGTGCTCAGCTCCCATCTCACCACACAAAGCTCCAAACAAATATACACTTGTTGAGCTTCTCTTGATTAAGCTGACTATGCGAACAGCTTCATCACGAACTTGTTTTAGAACAGGTGGCTTTTTGTTGTTGTTGCAACTAGGGCTTGCCTGTGTATAAAACAGTGCATCCAAACTGCTTGCGGTGCAACAGCCTGCACTCGGGTGACTGGCCCGCTGTTTTTTCCAGTTGCACAAATACTATCACTGCAAATTCCTACACTGCACTGCCATTTCAAGCCAGAACCAGAAACAAAAGCATCGAAAAGTGCAAAGAGCTGTTCCCATGTAGCACGCTGTAGTAATGACCGGCAGAACAGAAATTCCTCTTGGAGTTTTTCATCGTTCTCAAATTTTACATATGTCAGCACCTGAACAGTCCCCGACACATCTGTTGTTTCATCAAGTTGAATGGGAAAAAAAGAAGTTTGCTTGATTTTGGCGATCACTTGTTCAGTCACATCATTTGCCATACTGTGAATACACCTGGCAATAGTGTCATTAGACAGGGGAATTGAATCAAGTTGAGTCGCTGCACCTTGCCCCAATATAATCAAATCATTCCTTGGCACATGGCAGAAAACAAGCTTCTCCAGTAGAGTGTGGTTTCCCAGTTTTACTTATCCAGTATGACACAGCAGAAGATGCCTCAAGGGCTCTTTCATTTGTTGTAGCTGCCAAGCTCAGTACTCTCTTCTGGCCCTGTAGCTCTCTCAGCTTTTGCTGGGGAAAAAAAAAAATCAAGTGGTTTTGTTTGAATAGAACTGCACCATGTCTCCAAATGGGTGCCACATTTTAGATGGTTTTAAGCTCTCCTTTGCCAGAACTTCACCATACACCAGACACTGTGGCCATGACTCCCCCTCAAAATCAGCCCAGTAAATCCCTATTCCAAATATTTCTAATTGTTTTTTCGGTTTCTTGGTATTTTACTGCTGCTTAGATCCTCATTGTGAGCTCTTCTTTTGCTGCAAGTGGCAACTGACTCCCATTCATTGCCTCCCTTTCCTCTACCTTTCTTCAGAAAACAGTCCTTTGCTAAAATTATTTCTACAGCAACTTTTCAAACTGGCTTTAACTACAACACCTGCTGATTCCTTGCTAGGTGCTGAGTAGAGGAAGTGATGCACAGAGCTGGGGTTAAGAGGTGGGAAGCAGGGCAACTAAGTTGCTCAGGCTTGAAGCCCTGCTGTGGAGGAGCTTGGGCTCTGGCTGTCAGCCCTGCCATGTGCAGAGCTGAAATCTGTGGTATGAAACTCAGGGGGGCAGGTGCCCCCCACCCTCCCTAAATGCCCCCCCCCCCCGGCTTCAGTCTGAGCCCCATGATTGCAGGACTCAGGGTGGGGCTTTCTGCCCTGGCTCCTTGCCAGTCTAACGCTGGCCCTGACGACCCCCTTAAAACGGGGTAGCAACCCGCTTTGGGGTTGCAACCTACACTTTGAGAACTGCTGCTATAAAGCGTTTTCCTATTATGTGCACAATTTATTTTTCTGTCTCCTTCCAGGGCCAAACATATTTTAGGAGACAGAGAAAAGTACACTGTCACTCAGAGCTTCTCTTTCCTTATTGAGAAATCTGTATGGAAATAGCAAAAGAAGCTTCTCAAATAGGGAATGTGAAAACAAGCTAACAAGATTAATGCAAAGTCCTTCAGGCAAGCAGTTACCTTGTTTTCATTACTCCTCATTGCTAAGGAAATGTTCATTGTTGTTTTTCATTGAGATTTTTGAGATACAGTAAAGGAAGAGAAGTACAAATTAATAAGAAAACCTCTCCCTACTTGCAACTTGCCTTGGAGAGAAAGAGAAGGGGTGGGTGGGTGGGTGTGTGTGTGTGTGTGTGTGTGTGTGTGCGCGCGCGCACATAAAAGGGAATATTAAATACCATTTCACAGGGGAGCTGTGAGAATATTACCTGCCTTTTTATCTGTACAAGTCCCATCTGTGTATAAAGAAAATAAAACATGTTAATTAAAAACATGACTAAACTGCCACACAGAAATGTAAATATCTGTTACTAAAGCTCATCTAAAAATAATGTTCAAAGTTGAGTTCCTTTTCTATTAAAACAATGGGAAAGCGATTCTATCATTGTTAATCTGTTTCCAAGAAAAGATGACAGCAGTGGAATGAGAGGTTTTTTATTTCTATAAATATAATTTTAATTTTCTCTTTAAAAATATCAGTGTTGTAGTCTATGATACTAATTATATGATTCTGAAATTTTGAAACATTGCTGGAGTTTCCCTTTAAACATCGGTTTATTTTCAGGAGGAGTAAAATACATTATTTTATAAATAGTGTTTGCATATGGAGCCCAGTCCTGAAAATTGCTGAGAGCCTTCTATAAGGTGATACTCTGCACCTCGCATGACTGAGCGCATAGAGTTTCCAAACAGAATATAAGACTTTTGGGGCACAATTCTTACAAGTGCCCAAAAAGCATTATCTGTAATTGAGGTGGGGAGTCACAAAGGAGCAATTTAGGATTCCCTGACTCTGGAGCTAGTAGTGCTGCATGGCCCCAACCATGACATAATTTAGAGCTGCCTCAATATGTACTCCTTTTCCTCCCAGCCATGCTCCTAAACCAGATTGCCGTAGGGAATGTACAGGCAGGCCTCAACTTTATGATGTGCGACTTAAGACGAACACCACTTACAGCGTTTCTGAATTGACATCCCGATTCGACTTACAACCATTGGTTTCGATGCTCAGTCCCAATAGTGTGCATTGCAGTTCCAAGTTACAATGTTTCGACTTACTACGCAATTTTCAGGAACCAATTATGTCATAAATCCAAGGACTGCCTGTATTCGGTTGTGTATTCTACATCCCCAATGATGCTGCCACCCTGGCAGAATCCCCAGCAGACTTGAGAAGCCCAAGGCTCTACTGGTGCAAAGAATCTGACAGGGCCTAGGATATAGCCATAATGCAGAGTAGGTTACTACCTAATATATGATAATGAAAATAATTATAATAAAATAAGCCTGATTCTGCAACCCTAGTCTACACTGAGTAATGCATACTCCTGCAAGTCATTCCCTTGAGTAAAGGTTGCAGAATCCATCCCATAGTTTCTCTGCATTAAGAATTTCAGGAAGGAATTTAAAAGGATAGTATATGCTAATGGAGAAATAGATTTCTACACTATAATACCATGCCATCAAAAGTCAATAAAACTTATAAAAGGCAAACTGTTTAACTGAGATGATGCAAGTAGCAGGGATTTAAATACTGATCTGCAGTTTGTGGCTTTAGCCTATGGTCCTGTAAATAGTCTCATAGACATGTTTCACTTTAGCTAAGGAGAACTATATTGCAAGGAATATTGCACATCCACATTTTCTACAAAGTCCAGTCACACTCTAGAGTGGTTCTCCCACATTAATTCAACTTGAGAATTGAAGTGAGAGCAGAAAAATCAATGAGGGGCATGATCAATATGAGTGACCTAATGTGTTGTATTATTTTGCTCAATTAAATTTCTATTACATAGCTTAATCCAGACAACTGACAGGTAAAAGAGGAACAAAAATGATAGCTAGATAAAGTTAATCTAATAAAGAACCAAATGATTTTCAGCAGCCAACTGAAGCAGCTAATAATGCATCTAGCCCTGTATTAAAATAGTTTCCTAGATATACCTGATACATCATGGCCTGTATATATTGTCCAGAACAGAAACCTAATAACTGTTTAGTATGAATACAGAATTGTTCTGAACAACTGCATGAAGTTATGAGAGCAGAAAAAAGCTGAATGTCTCAGAAATACTCCAAATGTCATTTTTGAACACAACAAATACCTTCCAAAATTCCCTGCAATCTCATATTAAAGAACCCAAAGCGTCTACAATTAGAAATAGAAGGCTTGCATGATGTATGTGGAAGTGCTTGATTCTAGCTGTTAATTGATACAGTATTCTGAAGTTTATGGAAGTATGAGAAAAGAAGTTCCAAATATTTGATGTAATGCTGTAGCCTTTTAGACACCTACAGTAAACCACTAACTATGCCCTTTTTGCTCTCTTTTTCTACAGGTATTCCCAGTATTTCCAGTATTGGTAGTAAGTAATAAAAAGCAAATCTAGACTAGCTTTGCTATGTTATTCAGCTTTTTAGCTCTATTTTCCCAACATCCATTTCTGTTGTAGATAACGTTTCACTGAAATGTGCTTTATGGTAAGGGGACTATATTATTGACTTTGCCATGCTGCATTTACATGTAACTGCATTATGTGATCAAAGAGAATATGATATGTAGCTCATGACAGTACATCTGTCTGAAAACACAGCTTCTTGATCAGCAAATAAAAGCGTTAGCATTACAAATTGGAACATCAGGATGGCATTGGGTAGAAAAATATTATCAAGTACATTTTCTAAAACACCAAACTTTATTAATACCCAAGAAGAGTAGAGCCCTTAAAGCTATATATACAAATAGATAAATATAAGGGGAAATGGAAGAATGCACTAAAATGTATTTCTTTTTGTTTTTAATCTAGTGAATGTAGTGTATCAATCGGAGTCTTTCAATTGATTCATAGATTCCAAAGCCAGACAGGGACAATGGTGATCATTTAACGTGACCTTGTATAACACAGGCCATAGAGCTAGACTAGAGAATATCTTTTAATTGACATCAGTGGACTCTAGCTCAGGCCTTGAACAGAATAAATAGGTTCTTTGTTGAGATTCATTTTATTGTATAAAATGAAAACATTTAAAACAGCTAGTAAAATACAAAATTGCCTTTTTAAAAAAATCAGCTATTATAAATAAAAACAATGCAAAAAAATAAGAATATGGTCTTTGAGTCAAACCATCCTACAGTTGTGAAGCGGGTATAGTCATGGAATGATAGCTAATTAGAAATTAAGCGCTGAAGCAGAAAAGGTATAATTCAGTAGCTGAGTGAAAGAATGTTCCTGCACAGCCTCTGCTTTGCATAGGCTTTAGGCACAGATTTTGTGCTCTGCAGGTCTATCACAATTTTAGCAGTGTCAAAAAAAGATTTGCAATACCTGATATCTGGCTGAAAAGCAATATTCTAATAATTTGGATAAAGCAGCTGCCTTGCTTCTTATAAATGCGTGGTCAGGTCTTTCAATTTATAAATCAGTTCAGTTTACTTAAGCGCATGAACAGGCTTAGGCACTGATTTGTTAAGCACTAGACAGCATATTAAATGCCGTCAAAACTAGCCTCTTTGTAAAGGGGAGTAGTGTTTCATGTCCATTTAGATGCCAGCTTAATCCTATGGCATCCAGTTTGCCACCTTAAATAGCAAAACAGCATCAACAACAACTTGCCAATGAAAGTCTTCAGTTTTGAGAGTCTAATTTTTCTGCTTTAGTGTCTCCCTCGACATTTGCCTCACTGCAAATGCACAATGATGTGCTACTTTCACAACCTTGACAATTGCATTTGCACATGTATTTTGTATCCAAAAAAGGAACTAAATAAAAGGCAATAAAAAGAGATTATCAGACTATTATTATCTGGAATCCCACAGTTGTAAGTAACAGAAATGGATAAATGGCAAAATAGCTTTTTGGAGCTCAGTTGTGCTACTGTTTGTCAATACTGTGTTGCATGGACTACATCGTTGTGATTTTCACTTTACGCTCCATACAGCCTTCTTCACCACATTCACCATCTCTGAGCATCAGCAGATGTTGGCCTTTGAATACTTAATAGGGAAACTCAAATATTTTTTTAATCAGTGGTGACCTGAAAGGATGCATTGTTGACCTCTTAATTCTGTGAACTTTTACAGTGAGGTGATTAGTGTCATTTACTTATTAAAATAGACAACATTCAGTTTAACATCCCTTAGGAAATACAGTAGTTACTGCAAGTCTGTGTATTATCTTAAATATATCTGGTATAGATGTCCTTTGAATGAGATGAGGCAGGGTTCAACAAATTTTAATACCCATGTGGAATGCATGAAGCATGAGCACCAATTTATGAGTACACAAAGAGATGACTACATTGTTTGGCTTCTACCCACTACATTCCTCCTCCCCGACAGGGGTATTGAGTAGCTCGGGGGGAAAAGTGGCTGTTCATGGCACAATTTTCTAAAGGCCTTTCCTATATGATAGAAATAACAGAATTGTTGTTAAACAGTGGAGAGCCCCTTGACTTCTTGATCCTACTCCACTATGTAACTATGTTTTAACAGAATTACAATCAGTACTTAAAAAACAAACATGATTAATTACTTGAGGCTGCTTTAATGGATTCTGCATGATTTCTTCTCTTTTTGTCTATGCTAATACAATATTTGTGTTCATAAGGGTAGATTTCTGTCCTCAGCTGGGGACAGGAAATTATTCTCAGGTGACACCGTTTTTTGCCTGCTATGAAACAATAAACTGGTGTATTGGCTTTTGTATGCTTCAAGCTTTTCCCAGTTTAATACAGAAAAAATGAACACAAAACTGCCAACATATAAAGAAAATGTCACTGCAACAGATGTTCATGTAACACCCATAAGACTTTTACGATCAAAGCATGCCCAAAGAAAAATCAACGATGTATATATTTATCTTTGTGTACATATATGTATAATACTGTGTTCTCTTTGATCTCAAAGCATCTCATATTAAAGCAGCACATCATTAAAGTTTAAACACAAAGAAAGAGTGGTCATTAAGTAAACATCCTTTCTGATCATCTACACACACAAAAAAAAAAATTAAACCAGAGCTTTCCCATTAAGGTCATTTGTACCTGCTGTTGTCTATCAATTGAGTAATAGGTTCTTTGGTCATTTCCAGCATACTTGATTCCAGTGCTGGTCTTTACAGCATTTTTCAGCCGTGGCTGGAAAAATATTGGTGAGATTGTTAGCAATTTATGAATCCCAAAACCATTTCATAATTATGTAAGCTTTTATGATCAGTTATGCCTTCATCCAAATTTGTAAATATTATACAAAAAGTTACTCTGACTTACTTTAAACCATAATTGTATGTAGGCAAATATATCAAAATGTATTTTATTGTGACCAAATAGCAAAGTTATTAGCTTGTACCTGTATGCCTGACTTTAAAAAACTTTAATCTTCTATCAGATAACTTCTATCCTTATTCCTGTGGAGCATAATTTCACTAATTATGCTAAACAGTTTGTTCTAAAGAGTATAATTAGACATGGGATAGGATTGACATGATGTGCAAATAGCTTTGTGTGGGTGATTATCACCTCTGAAGCCTGCTGGTGGCAGATGAGTCAGAGTTTAGCGACAGACCATATATTGAAATGCAAGATGCAATCAAGATAATCAAATAGCATTTTATGTTTTGTTTTGAGTTTGTTTTTTGTTTTTCTAATTGCCAATTTCAAATAAACAGAAATCTCTCTTGGAATGATAACCAATTCAAGACACAAAAGTAAAAAGATTGTACTGGCATGACTTTCATGCATTGCTTTCATAACCTTAAAATATCAGCTGGGTGTTTTTCAGGCTTGGCAACAGTGTCAGGATGAACACTTTTTTTAGTGGTCTCAGATATGCTTATACGAATTTGCATGTTACCCAAGGTTTTTGCTAACAAACAGTTGAGTTCCAGTTCTCTCATCATTTACATCACTGTAAATATTATGGTCCTGATATCATGCACCACTGAAGTCAGTAGGAGGTTTTGTCATTAACTTTAGGGGTTGCACGATTGAGCCCTTTTTGTAGAGCCAAGTTCTAGTCCTGAATAGATACATGCAATTCCCATTAACTTAAGTAGGAGATTCAACGTGCATAATGAAGTGCAGAATTTGGCCCTTGTTTATTAATCTCTATTATTATTTGAGTTGATCTATTAGTGCATAAAGAAAAAGTTTCTCCCAGAAATCCATCACCCTGTCAAGAGACTTCTCAGATGTTTTTCTCCTTGAAGACATTTGAAACTGGCTTGATATTATACAGCTGTTGGTTTTGACACAGCAACAACATATTCTGATTTAGGTTTTGTTTGATACAAATGTGAATTGTGAATAAAATAACAAGGTTAATCATCTTCTTAGCCAAGCATTATTATTAATCATCATAGTCATAACATCAAAGGAAGCTACAGTATTTGTCCCCACACTCCCTCTGCCTTTGCTTTAATACTTCTAAATCCCAAAAATAAGTTTAATTTTAATTGCTCTTTAACTAATTAGGTTTTCGAGAATATAAAAAATTCATTGTGCAAGTAGAGCATTAATTTGAACTCCAGATCTGGAGGAAAACCTTAATGTCCCATATGAAAAGAGTTTGGGAGTCTTTTATACCATTTCTTCAGTAAGTCTCATCACAAATCTATTTCACATTTGTACAACCTACAGCACTTCATTCAATTTCAGGAGCAAGGGAACTTAACAACCACTTAACCCTGGAAGAGAAAATTCCCATGTGGGGTGACAGTAGTTTAGGAGAATGTATTTGCTGCAACATTGTGAAAGGTAAACTACAAAAGTTTTCATTGGGGGCAAAAAAAAAAAAGTATTTTCACCAGATCCACCAACATCACACATCTGAACAGCCTGGCTTTAGCCACCAGTAGACATAGCCAATGGCACTTCAATGTTTTTTACATTCACTATTTTTGAAGGTGCAATCTTTATCACCTCCAGCTAATTTCAAAGTTACCATGTCAGAAAGATTCTTTTTGCAGCACTATTTTAACTGCCTACACTATAGGAACTGCACTGCTGTCTTCAGTTTAATTGTTAATGAGGTAAAAGCAATCAGATGAGACACTGGAGAAAGTATGAGAATGTCAGCAAGCATTTAATCTGTGCAGTGCTGTCTGTTCTTATTGCAAAGCCACAGAAAAATGTATAGCTAAAATGACTAAAAGAATATGAAATTTTTCTCCACCCCTCTTTCCCCACATCCACCTCTTCCTCCTCCTTCCTAACAATATTCAGTGAATTCCATAGAGTATAGAAGACTGAACTCTCCAAATCAGCGCTCTGACTTTTAATCAGATCCTGATTACAGAGCGAGCGAGCGAGATCTTCTGCACCACAGTCTGATACACCAGGTCTTCAACACTTAACAGCCAATTTCACC